TTTTTTTTTTTTTAAATGCTCAGACTATCTTGATATTTTGCTAGGCAAACATTGGTTGCGCGAAACTTTAGTAAAAAAAGAAAGGTAGATTGTTTTACAGTAAGGAACAATTAGGATGAGTAATGGGAACACTGTTGTCGCTCATGCGACATGTTTCAAACCTAAAATTTATGATTATGCCGAATATCTAACGTCAGGTATTGAGAGATTTTAACCAGAGGATTGTATCTAAATTTAATTCTTAAATCTCGGAATGAAGAGCCGTTTTGTTTAGTTCTTGCTCTATAAAAGTTCCAATATCTGCCAAAAAAGATAGAAATCTTCTCTATAAGCGTTCGCCATAGTAGTTTTCAGAACGGGACTAACTGCAGAATAGTACAATGTTATAAAAAATATCCCATTCAATTAACTAAGCAATTCAACTGCAACTTAAAAGACAACACTTACAAAACGAGAACCAACACATAAAAGCGTTTTAAACAGGAAAAGATCTAAAAGGATTAAATAGAAGTTGTGTAAGAAAGTGAACTTTTTCTTGTAGAACTATGAATAACACGTGACAGATATTTGTTGAGAAGTATGAGCTCAAACTACGAGTAATTCCTTTGTTTCATTTCTGAACTAAGATTAGCGGTTTGAAACAAATAAAAAGTTATCCAAATTCGTGAGACACCTGCAGAAGGAAATTTAAGATCAGGCGTTATTTTGAGGAAAAAACTGATTTATTTCAAGATTGTTTGTAACCATGCGAGGAGCTTGATAAAAGTAACAACTACAAAAAAAAATTAAGTTGATCGGGAAATACTGTGAAGATGAATTATAACAAATGGAAAAATTGAATTGATGGTTGCTATTGTTGTTGGAGTGGTTTGAAGTGGCTGGAAAATGTACTGTTTACCGACCAAAAATTTCTGTTGAAGGCGATGCAGATGTTGTATGAAAAGGGGAAAGTCTTTTAATGATGATCTGGCCAATAAATAATTTGTCGTTCATTCTTATACAAATTTCTTTCGTCTAGCCATTCTGACATATGATTTAGCCAGCAGTTGTTAGCGTCATCTGTAGAACTGACAAGGGTTTTTAATGATAAAGCTGAATTAGACAAAAAAAAAATTTTTTTATCGAAAGCCATTGATATAATTGCTTTCCGAAGAGAAAACATTGACTGTATCTCGGTATCTGATCGTTTTTTTTTTTCGTTTTTAGTTGAGTCTTTTTTCAACAGTTTTCTTTTGCAAATTTGAAAGCTTTAAAAAAAATTTTTTTTTTAAATAACAATAGTTTTTGAACATAAATTTGTTACCAAATGCTGCAGTTGTATGTTTGCTAAAAAATTTTATTGCACTATTTATTAATGCAGCTGTAAATGCAGTAAATTTTTTGAATTAAATTAAATTAGGCAATAAAGTTTTTTC